AGGGGCAGCTGGACCCAAAGCTCTGCCTCGACGGTTTGGCGATACGCAGAATTGGCAAGTTGCTCGGCGAGCCGGAGGGCACGCGCCGGTGGCTGGCGGAGAAGGCGGCGGGTTTCCCGCAAGGCTGGGCTACTCTGTTCGCACACCCATCTGCGGGGAAGCACTGGCAGGAAGGGAGTGAGAGATGGAAGGCGGCGGTGAAAGTTTTCTGGAAATCGCCGCTATCGTCGTCGCCGGCACCTGCGAATAGATGGGAGGTGGAGGAGGAGTTTATCTGTTTCAACAAAAACATCATGCACAGGGGGGACAGTCCTTTTGGGCATCAGCTAGGCACGGCGGCCCTTCTCACTACGCGCGTAAGAGACCTGCTCACGAATGACGCAGGAGGACGGAGGTGTTTGAAAGAGGAGGTGTTTCTGATGATAGAACTTGGGAGCAAAGAGGCGGCGGTTATGGCACGGAAAGCCTACGGGGCTATGCCTCCGGAGTGGAAAAAGATGGTAGAGGAGCCGGTGTCGGCAGAAGAGGTGGTGGCAGCATCAGGAGTAGTGAGGTACATCCTTCAGGGTCAACCAACCAAGGTCCCATGGGCGGTGAAGGGAGTTGTAGCATCAAAAGTTGTCGCCTCCGCCATGTCGCTCAACGAGGATGGAAGGTTGGAGTCACAAGCGAGGGCGAGGGAGACTTGCTTCGAGGCGTGCAGACTTCAGCCGATGGTGATACAGGGGAGCAGGATGGTGGGGCCGGTGGGCGCCCCGAAAACAAAGCTTCTAGTCAAGCCCGAGCTTTTCGTGGGGGAGGAGCTGGCGCCGTTACGCAGGATACGGGCTGGGCTCACTAAATCAACGGGACGCTCCTGGAGGCAGGCAGAATGGGAGGATGTGTGGGGCAAGAAGATCGACTGGAAACGGGCTATCGAAACCCGTGACTCGATCTGTGTCTCCCTCAAGGCGAGGGATGTGCTCCTCAGGGTGCACAGCATGAACTTGCAGGTGGGGGGAAGGCTGGATTTCTTCCAGAACGGAATCAGCTGCGCACACTGTGGGGGGAAGGAAACCCTAGCTCATTGCCTCTACAACTGTCCAGTCATACAGCCGATCATCGGCGCGCTCAAGAGGTCTTTACAGATGCTGAATCCGGATAGGCCCGTGAGCTCACTGGGAGACCTGCTGTTCGAGGAAGGGGGCACGGTGTCTGGCTTCCCTGAAATGATGCTGACAGCTGCGGTGCTCCGGCAGGTTTGGCTGGCACGATGTAATGCGGTTTGGCGTGCGGCCCCTTTCGAAAGAAAGAAGGTTGGGCGCGGTGCGGTGCTGGATTTCATGACGCATGCGAGAGTGGTGGTGGCATCACGCGGAAAGGTGGTGGTGGCAGGTGAAGAGGGCAGTGTTTGGAGGGAGGACAGGTGGCGCCATATGGCGGCAGACGAGAGGAAGCTTTTGCGGGGAATCTGCGACGAGGAAGGGCCAACATGCTGGACGACCCATTTTCTATCCATCTGGCGCAACCCACGCACCTTTCACCAGCCACCGTAGTTTACCTTAGGGGGGATGTGCGACGCTCTGGTTAGCGCAGCCTAGGCCCTCCAAGAATACAGTTACGACTGCGGATGTATCTATGTTTTGATAATATAGTTACAACCAAAAAAAAAAAAAAAAAAAAAAAAAAAACCTCTTTTTGATCCCCGCCAGTGAAACGTGTCCAACTGAACCTGCCAATATGTCGCCCTACATCGCGGTACATTCGATGTTTGTGACACAACATTGGGAAAATTAACAGGCGCGACTCGGGAAAACGGGGATTGAGACACAAGTGTCCCCACAGGAATGCACCCTAACAGCTACACTATCTTATCAAAATCAACACACTATCTCCTGATCTTCTAGAAACTTCATAACTAGTAGGCACGGAGGCACACTCAGCCGGATGGTTCAACGTATATACCATTCAATGCGCGAACATCAAGAAACAGCAATATCTGTTACCTGAAAAAATCTCCATACCACCAGGGACTATTGCACTTGCAATAATGATTACCCATAGTTGACCCGTCCCCCTCAACCAGGCCCCAAAATGTCAGGGTAAAATACCCTGATTGCCCTGACTGGCGGCCGCTTTTTTTGGGGTTACCCTGACCCAGTCAGGCTCCCGGATTTCTTACCCTGACTCATAAAGAGTTTGATTTTTTGTACCCTTATGAATTCCGAGCTATAGATTGTTTCCCCTGACTTTCATCAGTGTTTTAATCCTGTTACACTGATACCGAGTCTTTCGTAGCGAGGATATGGTGGATGCTGCGCAAAATGGCGCCATCAAGTAGTGCCCTCCGCTTATTTCCCAATGCGAGCATTAATCCTGCGACCTTTCCTCTCACAGCTTCACCTATGACCGAGTGAAACACTTCAACTTGCAATGAACTCATTCGTTATGAATATGGACTCTTACACGGAATCAGAGTACGATATTTTTTTACCCTGTTTTCATCAGGGTACGAAAATTTTTACCCTAGGAGTCAGGGTTGGCCCACCCTGGAACTCTGATTTGACAGGGTAGGCCAAAACCAATTTTGGGCCCTGCCCTCAACCCCGCTTGGTTGAACCTGTCCCACTCAACTCTACTTGCAGCTAACGATTACACATAGTTGACCTTGATATGAGAATAACCGCCATGTAGGTCCTCTGCTAGCAGCTTCCGCAAACCCATGGTAATTGCCCCTGGAGAACCTGAATTGTGGAAGAACGAAACAAGTGTCAGCAGTAATCATTATGACCCTGGCGCAACACAACTTCGTTAAAACCTTACCGCTTGCAATGACTTGGTCATCCCATCGAATCACAGGGGTCACCAACACCCCGCTGCCCACAAGCATCATTTCTTTGCACTGTCGTCCTTCAGACTCTGAAACTGGCCGGTGGCAAATCCTGCTTATTCTAGGAACTGAATCTTCTTCCAACAGTTCTTCTGCAAGTGACAAAACTCGCTTCATTGTACACCCTGCCAATACCTGCAGCACATTACAAAAAATTAGCATCCGCAGCCAAAAGCCGAAGGGCAGATAAGAAAAAAAATAGCACAGAACCAAACTCACCCGGCTGAACTCAGGAACAAGAAACTCGTTTCGGTCATTAACAAACTGCCAGCAGAAGAGCAAACCAGTGGACGTTAAAACAATTTTATCAGCCATGCAGTGTCATCCCTCTCCAGACGACGTTGCCTAGACTTACGGCAACATTCATGCTGGGACCTTCTCCAACGTTGCCATTCTCATCAATCCAAATGCCTTCAAACACACCCCTCTGCACGTTTCAAACACACAGGCTAACTTAGCGTTCCCATCCACATTATGAGGCAAAATCTGCTAAAAAGTTAGCCCATACCTCTTCAGCCTCCATCTTCACCAGAGAATTAGGCATGTAATTTACATTCTTCATAGTTGAGAACATTGGAGCTTTCATTGGAACACTTGACGTAGCCTGCAAGTTACCAAACGAGCACACCGAGCTCAGACACCAATCTCCACTGAAGGAAAAGGCAGTAAGAGCAAAAAAGAGTAACTGACCACTGTAACCCCATCAACTGGAGCCTCCAGATTTGTGAACTTATTATCCGCAACGACCATGACGTAAAAGGTACTTCTTGGACACCTGCAAGAATGGATGACAATAATTATTGACTGACCGGAAACCTTTGGAATGCTACAAAGACACACGGCAATGCGCCTACTCTTTAGTGGATAAAGTGAAACCACCAGGTCCAACTGAGAGCCAGTATCGAGTACTGCCGTCCCTCACTCCGCTAACTGCACAGGTATTGAATGGACATAAAATGCACCTGACGCATCGCTGGATAAGGACTTGTTCCTACACTACGGCAAGTGCATACGTGAGAGTGCGGTTACTGACCAGCGACAGTCTGGATGATAATAGCTTTAAGCTCTTCTCGAGAATATGAGTGTTCAATTCTTGCCGCACGAGCTGACTTTATAAAACGGTCAACATGCTCATCAAGCTCATATAAGTACCTGCACGTGGAAAAAAAAAGACCACAATTTGCAACTTGAAGGCGGCCATGGGTACAAACATCAGAAAACCCTTTTTATGTGCGCAACTTACCCTGAGCAAATAATGGCGGTGTCAAAAACAGCGTGGCCTCTGTGAGCCATGTGATCGTCAATAGGAAGTACCATAGCTGCTGGATCCGTCGTGATTCCACCGACCACACTCGAGTAAAACGCGCGATAGTTTCGTTGATTAGGATGCTTGTGGCCAGCAAGCCTCTCCGCCACCTGATAAACGCGTTTGACTGTGAGAAAAGTCGTGAGAAGGGAAATTTGACATTGTGCTGAGAAATACCTACCTCCGTTTGCGAAAGGACGGGAATTGAATCTACATTGCTCTTCGTAACTTCGCTCAGAATTGTGGCAGGCGCAACGCAACTGCTCCTGCAGGGTTTCAAGGGCTTAGAACGTGGCAATTCCTTAAGCCGAGGGTTGAAGGAGCAGCACAGAACCTCAAGCGAAACGGACACGCGATTGGAGCTGCGTGCAGACGAAAGAGATGTCGACACATTGGGAGAACTATCCACTCCAAGCAAACGGGCGGGTGCGGATAAAGCGCTAGAGGTGAAGGACGCCATACTGCAAGAGATGACGGATGCAATACTGCTAGAAGTGTAGGACGCAATACTGCTAGAAGTGCAGGATGCACACAGATTTTGTAAGTAAGGGTGACCAGCAGAGGATCATAACAAGAGAACCTGGACGGGAAGACTGCAAATACAGGCAACCAAATCGCATTGGTGACTGGACCTTGAAAGACGATAAGTTCTTCGACATTGCGTCGATCCGGTAAGCATAGGGCCGAATCAATGCATCGTTCTGCTACCTTCTCGATCAAGGATATGCACATGGAAAATAGAACTATTTACACTATGCATACAGGCCAATAGCAATACAGATCCACATTTCCATTTTCCAGCCCATGACGCTGCAGTATCATTGCCTAGTCAGAAGAACCTTCATCTTCTTCAGCGGCTTTTTCTAGAAACTCCTTGGCTCTATTGAGGAGTGGATGACAATCAACATCAGGCGCATGGAGTGCTTTGCTGCTCTGCACCTTGATGGCAAGGTCCACAACAAGTGATCGCCACTGCTGCTCCCTCTTCTCTGCCACAGCAATCTGACAAGCGAGGACCAGAGAAATAGGAGACGCTAAATGAATCAAAAGCTGACGACCGCATTTCAGTTGAGCACAACAGTGTCCTTTGCCAGCTAATTGGCAATGAAGCATGCACTCACCCTGTGGCGTGCATCCATTTCCAGCATGTGTGATGCCGATCGCACACTGAAGGAGTTCATCAGCAGCAGCGGACTTTGATCTGTCCAGCAGCCTGGCAGGCCTGAGGCACTGGAACTTTTCTCCTGCTTGCTTGCACCACTGCTCCTCCTGCCACCAATTCTAATGCCTCCTCTCATGCTGCTGCTGCTAGAGGCACTGTTTCGTTTGCTGCTGGGAACAGGAATGGGTGGTTCATTGAAGGCCCTCCCATGCCTCCTTCCACCTGAATCCCTCTGCTCCCTCCGCCCCTTCTTGTTGGGAATTTCAACACCCATTTCCTCCATTTCTTGCCTGTCTGCAGTTTGAGTAAATTCCTTGCAGCCTTCATGCCTTGTAGACCCCCCCCCATCCAGCACTGCTGCAGTTGGACTCGCACATTCCCTCCCTGCTGTCAGCTCAGCCCCTCGCTGTGCCCCTCCCTCACCAATCAATTCAGCGACAGGTGATACCTCAAATGATACACGCCTGCTAAGTCGCCCTTGTTCCGTTGTCATCCCACCACCAATCCGGTCCCATCTCTCTGCGCTCCCCCGTCTAACCATACGCCTCATCTGCTTCCTCCCTTCAAACGCAGGAGCTTGTGACGCTGATCCTGCAGCTGTTCCTACCGTGACTGCTGCATCTCCACCTCCTGCTATGACTGCTGTTGATGTGGCTGCGACTGCTACAGGAGCTAAAACCACAGCTCCACTCACTGCAGCCTCTGCTGTTGCTTCCATGGACCATGTCCCTACATGAGCAGCATTCCACACACCTGATCTGTTGAAAACACCTGAGTTTGAAATAACAGCTGGAGGCACACTGGATGGGCTGCTGCTGCCGGAGCTGCCTTCAATAACTGGAGGGAGAGAGGCCATGGACAGTTCATGCTCCATGCCGGCCAGAGGCAAGAACATCGCCCCGCCATTGTGACCCTGCCCACCCCTTAGCCCTCCTCCTGCTCCTTCCCCAACAGCTGCAGAGTCACTTGCAGCTCTGCATTCACGGACTCTTCCCCAGTCTTCAGCAGCAACACCAGATGTGCTTGCATACACACTGCCTCCACGGACCACATCACTAGCCGTGTTCCCAGCGGCTGGTAAACTCCCTCTCCCTGCTGCTACTGTTCCTCTTGACCCTTCATCTGTTCCTGCGCCTGCTCCTCCGCTCCACAACACTCCACCACCCCACACTCCACTCCCCCATACCCCACCTCCCCAGCCTGACCCAGGCCCAAATCCAAGAGAAAGGATGTTCATGAAGCTTGAGTTCTTTCGAATCGTGTCAGCTGCAACAGGAGCAGGGTCACCACCACTACCACCACCAGCAGCGGAAATCACGGGTGGATAAGCCAGTGAAGCTTGAGAGGCAGAAGCAGAGTCAGCAGGGCCTGGGAAGGGGTGAGGGGCATCCCTTCGGCCCATAATGGCACCTGATTTGTCGGTTGAGACAGCAGTGGGGTGGCGGAGAACGCCGGGGAGAGAGGAGAGGGAGGAGAGGTTGCGGAGATTTTCCCAGGAGGGAGCGTGGGGGAGGAAGTGGGGGCGGCGAAGAGTAGCTGGGACAGGCTGGACGTCGTGAAACTTGGTGAAGTCCTGCACAAGCAGTGGGGGACACGAGTGTTGATTAGGTGGAATGGACAACAACTGAAATGTTGCAAGCAGCAAGAAGGACCAGAAAATACTTCGTGCACATGTGTGCGAGCGTGTGTGGAGCGAACGAACGAGCGGGAGTGTAGATGCTTGGCGGATAGACAGAAAGGACAAACAGGAGATTGGGCTCAGAAAGGATGGAACAACAGATATGGCAACTCACCACGCGTCGGATTCCACTTGGTGACCGCCTGACCATGGTGCTGCCACAATGAACGAACCAGATGGGTACATAAAAAGGATGAGCAAGCAAAGAAACAAACCCTCAGCAATTTCACAGGAACTACAAAAGACATTTAATAAATCAAGAAAGAGTGATGAAGAAAGTGTGTGGCCGTAATGAAGAGGTAAGTGCTCCCAGCTCACGAGAAGCGGTGGTTGAACTTGATGTCACAAGGCGAGTAGGAATGTCGGGCTGAAGTCACAGGTGCACATGGGAGGAACAGCAAGGACACAGTGCGGTAGTTAACTTAACTGGGCAACCAGAAAAGTGCTTCAGGGTGTGAAGACAGCAGCTGTCGGAAGAAGACAATAAAGCTATTCAGACGCATTTGCAAAACATCTTAGCACGAGGTACTACACAGTGGGTCATAAGCACCTTGCAGCTTGGCTGATGTGGGAGCATCTACGCCCTCTATAAGCACAAGGAACTCAATGTCAGCGCGTTCCATCATCTACAATCACATCCATGTGGAACAGAAGATGCGGGATGGGACTTTTGGGAGTGAAAGAGAGTTGTTGGAATAAAAGTGACAGTTAAAGGCATTCTTGGACAACATGCTCCAAATTCATGTGGACCACAGGCAAGCAGAAAGGGCGAACATAGGATGTAGCAGCAGCAAAGACTTACTGAGGTGGAATGCGAAATGAGATGGGATACGGGACTTACAGCAAGGGACATGCCATGGAGTGGGCTGTGCTTCGTGATTGCATGAGTGATGATGCAGGGGAGAGCAAGAAAAACGAAGCCCCCTCCTAGGATCTGCGACGCAAGGACACGCGGGAAGGGTGGAAGACGACTTAGCAGGACGTTTGAACTGACAGGCACAACGTGCTACTATCACAAATCATGAAAACTGGCAGTCTCGCACCAAGAGGCCCATGATGCCATTCAACCGAAACATGGGTCTGCAGCGGGAATCTTCATAGCTACGATGAGATGAGACTGACCGGAAGATTGGAGAACTTGAAGAGCGCCTCATTCTCTGCACTCATGATATTGTTGATTGCCACCAGCAGCTGTGCATGCGCCTGCAAGATTGATGATCAACAGTTAGCAGTCAGCAAGCCCAAACAACCTGATCGTGCTGTTCCAGTTGGTGCCTACCTCTATGAGTTGGTGCCTACCTCTATGAGTTGGTGCCTACCTCTATGAGTTGGTGCCTACCTCTATGAGTTGGTGCTTGCGAACATTAGCAACCCGGAATGAAAGGCGAGGCACTCCGTCTTCCTGCCATAGCGCAAATTGAAGCCAAAGCAAATACAGTAGCAGCAGGGTGTCAAGACAAGGAAAGGAAAGCCATGGCAGCCTCTGATGCACTAGAACAGCAGGAGCAACAAACATCATCACCTCGTTGAGCACCATGCATTGGCTGAACACGAGTGATGAAGCTCGACGGGAGGGAAGGGCAAACCTGCACGGATGACAAAGCAGACATATCACATCATTGTTGCCTGACAAGCGGTGAGCGTGTCTGTGATATGCATGTCAGCATATCAAACTGTATCTTGATTGAAACATCCTACTCAATCTCTCTACTAAACATGTGCTTCCTGCTCTCCACTTACCGTGTGTAGACTATCCCCAGCAAGGCATAGGCGACAATCAAAGCAGCAAGTGATTGGAGGGCGATAAGGAGGTTCAGTGTGAAGCAGTTAGGATCAGGAACCAGATCTCCCCCAAACCCTGCACACAAAAAGAATTCAGCGTAGCAGGAAGGAAAAGAACAGGAGGGGTGGGTGAGGTCTGCCAAAGGCTGCAAGCAAAAGATAACACCATGTTGAAAATGGGAAGCAAGTGACACAACACTACTTACCAATGGTCATGGCGGACTGAACACTGATTGATTTCACAACACAGATTGTGTTTAAGGTGTACAAAATATTGCCACAACAGGTCCACAGACAAGAACAAAGAGGATGTCAGTCACTTGAAAAAAAAAAAAAAAAAAAAAAAAAAAACGCATTGCCAGCAGTTATTGTCTTACCTGAACCATAAAGCATGCCAGTAATTCTTAACCCCCGGGATGCAGTTATACTGCACAGACTGGTCAAAGATATGCACATTCCACACATCCATGAAAATAGAATCAACAATGCTGCTACTTCAATGGAACCTGGGCACTACAAGCTATACATTAATGCAAGAGAGAAATAAAATATCGTGATGTAATGTAAATGGACAGGTCCGAGAGCTGATGCCCACCTGATAGTAATAGGGGACAGCAAACCCTCCAAATAGCAGCGAGTAGCCAAGCAGAAGTAACGGGTAGAAGCGGACGTTAGGAATCTGCAAAGAACAGATACAATGACAGCCGTCACACGTCAGCTGAAAGAGTAACGGTTCAGTGAATTTTGGAGTGCATGATGCATCTACTACACAGTGTGATCCAGCTGATCCAGCAAAATCAGGAACATGCAACAATCAGCAGCGAGGGACTGGGATAACCGCAGCATGAGAACTTCCGTACGTTGATCAGCGTGTGAAATAGATCACTCCAATACGCTGTCAGCTTGGGAACTCCACGCCGTTCCACATTCAAAGTACCCCTGTACGCACAAAGCCAAGGATGCCGTCAGAGCAACAAGAGGATTGTGAGGTGGTCTAGAGAGTGAGAGCGCGAAGCCAAGTGCCTGCCTCATAGAGAGCAGATTGAAGGAACTATTGACTCACGATGTATCGACCAACGGCAGCTTGGCTGGTTTCTGCTCCATGTCGCCTTGCGACCCACGCTTCCGCAAGAACGATCCATAAGGAGTCCTTTGCTGGTTCGTCGCCTGCTTTGTGTGAACCGGAAGCAGCGGTTCCCTGTCATTCCAGCTGTTATCGCGTCGTAGATTGCTCCGACTACCGCTGCTACACGCAGACTGCGGACTGTCGACAGGGCTCCTACTGCCGGAGCTGCTTGGTCCAGGTTCGTACGAACCCGCTATTTCGCCTTCGACACGCCGCTTTGGCATCGGATCGAAGCGACGAGCCGATGTAATAAGACCTCTTTAGGAGTGACTAGCAAGGGTGGTATTCCAGGAAGAGCCTTGGAAACCGATGGTTCTACCAGTGAAGTGCTTCAAATACCCACGTGCTTGGAAAAATGAATCACGTGATCAGGAAGTCGCTAGTTGTGTGGTGCAGCAGCTTGATGACAGGAAACGAAAATTTACACAACCTTATTCTCTGAAATTTCTGTGCAGCTGGCTGCTGCCTTATACCTTGTAAACTGCTGGCTTAGAGTGACACACTGAATGGGGACAGCGAATGAGGGAACATGAGGGAGTGACGTGGACTTCGAAATGCTTGCGGTGGATGTGCCAGCTGTCCACAATTCCCCCTCATTTTGCCTCGGCAATCCCTGGAGCCTACAATTTGGTTGTGCGCCGAACCTAGCCTTCTTTGGGATTGCCGTGTCAAGGAGGCCTTCCTGTAAGCCGAGCCTAGTAGGGAAATCAGTCGCACAACCCAGTTCATTATTCCAAATTTTCCAAATTTCCATTTCATTCACATTCCGACTATCTCTCTCCATTTCAGCTGTGTTCCTCGTCGAAGAGTTGCAGCTAGTACTTAGGTAGCTATGGCTCTTCAGCCTGTGCACTCGCTTCGTGTGCACTCATCGCCGGGAGCCTCGCATCCTATCTTTTCCGCCAGAAGCGGACCACTTACCGATGTCGCACCTCGATCCACGCATTTCGTCAAGGCTAATAATATAGCATTTATTGCAAGCTTACGAAGCCATGGATTTGCCTCCTCTTTCTTCCGTCCAGGGCCGTGCCGTCCTCGTGTCGTCTCAGTAGCCTCTCACAGAAGGGCTCTAGTCACAGCTGCCTCGGCGGGTCAAAATGAACCTGCACACCACGAGAGGAGTGGGTCCTTAGCGCGTGATGTTCCTTCTAGAGCACCACCAGGTCAAGAGCTGAAGGAGTCATTGGACTTGATGAAGCGTCGCTTAGGAGAATCCTTTTCAAAGCTGTTCGCAAACCCGTCGCATAGTATTCGCGAAGCATGCGACCAATTCGGACGGCTTGCAGCGTCTGTCACGATTACTGCTACAGTCCTGTCATCTGCCATGCCGGCATACGCTGGTGCGGTGGTGGCACCGCCACGTAAGCTTATGGCGGATGAGCTGGCGACTGTGAAGCTGTTCAATGACAACACCGCGTCCGTCGTGTACATAACGAACCTCGCCACTAGGTACGTGCGTGCCCGCTCGATCGACGAGGATGTAAGGAGCCTGGAGAACTCACAATGAAACATAGGTCAGGAATTGGCATCGCATGGCAATTTGAACTTGTATCACTGAACTTGTGCACGCGAACTGAGATGGTTCTCACCAAATACATATCCGTGTCCATATCTCAATGATTATGCATGCACGTTCTGTTCTAATGCATTCATGCTCGCGTGCTTGTATGTGTTGGTCTGTACATGACCATCTCTATGTGAGTGTGATGTGAGCATGTGCGTGTGACTGACTGTGCATGGGAAAATGTGTGTGTGTCATTGTATGCATGCGACTGTCGTTGCAGGAAGGACGCGTTCACACTGGATGTGATGCAGGTGCCTCAGGGGACAGGGTCAGGCTTCTTATGGGACACGGAAGGCCATGTGGTTACCAACTTCCACGTCATCAGGCGCGCCACTGACCTCAGGTATGGTCTGAGGACGGAAGTTATTCATGCAGATGCGTATGAACTGAATTGACAATTGTTGCACATCCAAGCTAGAATGTGGCAATGGATAGTGACAGAAAGACCTCCACAAGAGCACTATCCTTTTCGTTCCTCTTTCTCCGCTCCCAACATCGTCCCTAACAGAGTGACCTTATCGGACCAGTCAGTGTACGAGGCGACAGTGGTGGGAGCGGATCCCAACAAGGACGTGGCAGTGCTGCACATTGATGCGCCCCCTGAGAAGCTAAGACCGCTGCCTGTAGGCTCCTCCTCGGACCTGCTGGTCGGCCAGAAGGTCTTCGCCATCGGCAACCCCGTGAGTTCTGCTCCATCCGTCAACTTGTTGCCTACCCCTCTAGAAGTTGAACCCATCTTCCATCCTTCTTCGCATCTTTGTTCCTCCCTCTACTCTGTCCGCCTGCCATATTCTCTCAATGTGGCTTCTCCCCTTGATCTGCACACTGTATTTCCCTAATGAACATACTTTGTGTCCCTATTCTCCTTTCCTTTTCTTTTGTGCTTTTGTCATGCCTTAGTTCGGACTGGACCACACACTCACAACAGGAGTCATCAGGTACATCCTTTTCCACTCGTCTTCCTGTTTCCTTTCACTCTCACTTCCTCATCCATCTGCATATCCTCTGGCTATACACCCTCGTTACAACCATGCAATCGTAAACGTCTTCTCCCACGGCCCGCCACTTTTTTCTCAGTGGATTGCAGCGCGAAATAACATCAGTAACGCGACGCCCCATTCAGGACGTGATTCAGACTGATGCTGCCATCAACCCTGGCAACAGCGGAGGGCCTCTCCTCGACTCCAGCGGCACCCTCATCGGCATCAACACCGCTATTTATTCGCCATCTGGCGCATCCTCAGGCGTTGGATTCGCTATCCCTGTAGACACAGTAAGTATTCCTGAGCGTTACGACACGAAATTTTCGAAGGTAGATTTCCCGCACTCCATCTCACCCGCCTCTCAGGTCCCATCTTCCCCATGCTTGGGTCAGAAGCCGATTCTGTTTCACGCCAAACAGCCCATGTTCAGCGCAATCCTCTCACTACTCATGACACGTGCTTGGAATATCACTCATCATACTGACTCTTTCATGGCATGTGCATGGCAGGTGAGTGGCATCGTGGAGCAGATCATAGAGTACGGGCAGGTGACACGGCCGGCGCTCAACCTGGCCTTTGCACCGGAGCAGCTGGTGGATCAGCTCGGCATCTCGGGGGTGCTCGTGCTGGAAGTCAACCCCAACGGCGCTGCTGCCAAGGCTGTGAGCCCATGCATCGTTTTGCCCAAACACATCGCTAGCAGAGAAGCTCTTTTGTTCTTCGACTTGTATTCACGCAGCTCAGTTGAATCCAGCGCAGAGCTTGACACTGGCATTCAGGCTCACCAGGGTCATTGGTCAATCCCTTGCTGCAACTGCAGCCATTTAGCCCTCTCAGTGACTCCTCTCGTGCACGTTGTGCTCAGGGCCTGCGCCCAACGTCACGAGACAGCTTTGGGCGGCTAATGCTGGGGGACATCATCACGGCCATTGATGGCAAGCCCATCTATTCCGGCTCGGACCTCTACAAGATCCTGGACAAGTGCCAAGTTGGCCAGACCGTGAGTGTGCTCATGTCACTACCGTCTGAGCATGTACTTGTGGTGACTGGATGTGTGGATGCGTGTGAAGCACTTGTACTTATGCCTAGGCTTTTGCTCCTCCTGGCAATGCATTTGTTACTGACATGAGCTACTGGCACTTGTGTCTGCGCAGGTTGATGTACAGCTGCTGAGAGGAAACGAGGAAGTTGTTGTGCCCGTCACTCTGGACGGGCTCAGCGGGTGAACTGTTGCGTGAGGAGATGGCGCTCTCAGCTGTGCTAGCTGAGTTATTGATGTAGGCTATCTATTGGTGCTGGACAAATTGATGTACAGCTGTTGAGAGGAGACAAACATTGTTGCGCCCATCACTCTGCGCCAATCACTAGGACTGGAGTACTCATGGAGTTAATTGAAATTGTGGAGTTAAAACCCGAGGTCAGTCCGGTAATTTTTCAAGTTATGTGGGGTTGAAACAGTTAGGCGAAAACCTGAAAATCGTGAATTTCGAAAATGTGTGTGGGGCGAAACCGAATTCAGGAGGCGGGAAAAACAGTCTTCGCCACGATACCGTACTATGCGTCAGCTGTCCCCGAGGATATGGGAGGGCCGAACGACCCAGTGTGCGACAGAGCACTGCTCCCGCCCCAGCACTGGTGGGGCACACTGCGCTTCTCTTGGGGTTGAAATGGTGGGGAACGCGAAACTCACGCGAGTAAGAGTGAGGCAGTACACTGAACAATATTTCCTGTGATTACTAATCGACTAAAATATTTGGATAAGTTTGAGACTTCACTTCAGAATAACATAAAAAATTCAAGTGCTGAATTGGCATAGAAAAGCAAATTGTGAATCATGAAAATTACATATCAAGAAACACATTAGCAATACATTTCCAAGCGTACACTCTCAAGCTCAGATCCCGCAACTCATAAGGGTCTCGGCCGGCCACATAGGAACATGTCGTGCCTTTCCCTGCACCAATCTGCACTCCCCCGGTCCACCGCAGCGCAGACCAGCCTTGCCCCACCGCACATGCCCTGACGTGCGCTGCCGCCAGCATCCTGCCGCACATCCTGCTGACTCTGCCAATCTCCATATTTTTGTCACGGCCCCTGCCTGCCTTCACCCTGTGCTTGCCATTTTGCCTCCCTCCCACGCCACTCCGCACTGACCATGCCGCACAACACACTCCCTTACCCTTGCCCCATGATCCACCAGTTCGAATCCTTGCCTGCACAGTGCTGGCTGCTAGGCAAAGCGGCTCCCAATCCCTCCGTACATGCAGGGGCGGGGAACAGAGAGGGCACGGCCTCATAGGGCGCAGATCAGCAGAGGGCATGGGCCAGCAGGGGAGGCACATATAGAAAAAGACGTGGTTTGGGAGAGGTGGGATGGAAGGCGTGGACAGCAAGCGGCAGGCACAAGGCAGCACGTGCACCTTCCGGGCACACCTGCGCGCGGATGAGAAGGGAAGGTGGTAAGGTGGGCAGGCGGTAAGGTCGGCAGGCGGTAAGGTGTGCGAGGGTGAAGGAATAAGAACAGAGGGTGGGGAGACACAGGGAAAAGGGACAAGGAAACGGGTAACACGGAGACAGGGAAGGGGATGGGGGGAAGCAGGGAACGGGATGGGGGGAAGCAGGGAAGGGGATGGGGGGAAGCAGGGAGGGGGATGGGGAGAAGCAGGGAAGGGGATGGGGGGAAGCAGGGAAGGGGATGGGGGGGAGCAGGGCAGAGGGTAGGGGGAAGCAGGGAAGGGGATGGGGGGAAGCAGGGAAGCGGATGGGGAGAAGCAGGGAAGGGGATGGGGGGAAGCAGGGAAGGGGATGGGGAGAAGCAGGGAAGGGGATGGGGGGAAGCAGGGAAGGGGATGGGGGGAAGCAGGGAAGGGGATGGGGGGAAGCAGGGAAGGGGATGGGGAGAAGCAGGGCAGGGGGTGGGGAGAAGCAGGGAATGGGATGAGGGGAAGCAGGGCAGAGGGTGGGGGGGAGCAGGGAAGGGGATGGGGGGGAGCAGGGCAGAGGGTGGGGGGGAGCAGGGAAGGGGATGGGGGGGAGCAGGGCAGAGGGTGGGGGGAAGCAGGGAACGGGATGGGGGGAGCAGGGCAGAGGGTGGGGGGAAGCAGGGAAGGGGATGGGGGGGAGCAGGGCAGAGGGTGGAAGGAATCAGGGCAAAGGGGGAAGCAGGGCTGGTGGGAGAACGGGTGGTTGGGAAAAACAGAGACAGGGGGCAACAATTTGGGGGAAGTGAGGGCGATGAGGGGAAGCGCGTGGGGGAAAAGAACATCTGCATACCCTTCTGTCCTATCCCCTCTGTCTCTCTCATTCAGTCCCTTCCCCTCAGGAGGAAGAAGGGTGGAAGAAAGGGTGAGAGAGGTTCGAAGAAAGAGAGATAGAGAGAGGGAGAGGGAGGGAGGGAGAGATGGAAGGGAGGAAGAGGAGAAGAGCGTATGACAAGCGGAATAGAATGTGGGGAGGAAGGCGGGTGGTATGTGGGGGAGATGGAGGCGGGTATGTGGGGAGGCGAGGGCGACGGGCAGAAGCGAGGGCGTTATGGCGACGAGGAAAACGAAGACGTTGAGGAGGAGAGCGAGAGATGAGAAGAAGCGCGGGTGACGGGGAAGCAAGGGCGACGACGGGAAGCGCGGGTGACGGGAGAGCAAGGGCGACGACGGGAAGCACGGGTGACGGGGAAGCAAGGGCGACGACGGGAAGCACGGGTGACGGGGAAGCAAGGGCGACGACGGGAAGCGCGGGCGACAAGCAGAGGCGAGGGCGGCGAGGGTCGGCGAGGGAGATGAGGGAAATTGCGGGCGACGAGGAAAGCGGTATGACGTGGGAAAGAGCGGCCGACGAGGGGGAACATATGAGACTAACGGCAGCGCGCGTCTGGCGACCCTGTACGGCATTCGCGTGAGCGACCCGTGCCTAAAACGGTACGATCGGGACGCGAGGCTGAACCGCAGCAAGTGTGAAAAGAGCATCTTGTGCGGCGCGAGCTTGAAAGCAAGCCGCGAGTAACGCGACGATTGTTCACTAACGTAAGTGCTGCGGGTGAACAGGTTGTAACACGAGACCGGCGACGTGAGGGGGAAATCGGAGCGTGCACTGACTAAGATGGTTGAGGTGGATACCTATTTTTTTTTCCGCACAAAAAAAAAGCCCTAACAACGACTCGCTTTTGCCAACTAGCGCTAGTTTTTGTCTTGGAGCCTCCTAGTCTATGAGTACGACTTGGTAAGCAAGTTATGTGAGTGGTGAACAGTGCATATGGTTGGCGATCATCGCGTCAGTTCTGTTTTTGGGCACTCGGGTTCCGTTGTCGCAGGACGATTGCCTGGGGTTGCGAGAGTTTCTTCAAAACAAGTAGGGTAACCCTGTTTTTTGCGATTTCAAGTTCAAGAATCTTGAACTTGAAAATTACCATGCTGTACCCGGGCTATAATGGAAGCATCTCAGCCATTGTGGAGCAGACAGAGCAACAATCAACAACATAAAGGCAACACTACTTTTGCAGCTGAACGGTACCTTTTGGATGCACGGTTTTAGCCTTGGGCCTATTCAAGAACTCCTCCACTATCCCCATAAACTCATCTTCCACGAAGTTGCACTTCCCGCCTTGGATCGTCTGGTTTCGCGACGTTCGCTCCTTCAGAGGAGTCCGCGCATCCAAATCCACCGACCCTCCCCTTCTATGCCTGTGCTTCTGCCTGCCCCCTGCAGCTTCCATCTTGCACGTCCCTTCCTCTGCCTTCTCTGCCGCACCTGCTCCAGAGGGCTTTGTCTGCCTCACTCTCACCCCTCTGAGCGCCTCTGCAAGCCTCTCCTGTCTGGCGTTGGCTTCCCGTGCAAGGATCGCCACATTCACTGTGTGCATCTTCAGCATCCCCGTCTCTGCCTGCGAACCACCCTCACCTCGTGCTCTTCTTGCTTTCGCCCGTGCCACTTCCCCGTGCTCCTCATGCCTCGTTCCACCCGTCCTCAGCGGGGACCTTGCCCATGCGGGCGGGAAGAGGCGTTCAGACCTTGTGCTCCACAGCCCACTGCCATCGCACTCGCCCTCCTCCACCTCCTCTGGGTGCTTCAACAACTGGTGTGAGATAGCAGCGGGGCGCCTGCTACCTCTGACCTCAGCATCCTGCCTCGCTTGTGCCGCTGCCACCTCCCCTTCCGCTGTATCCTGGATGGCTGGAAGACTCAATCCATAAGGGCTCACAGCAGCAGGGAGCGGTGCAACAGCATGAGAAGCTGGGTCAGATGCGAGTAGGATTGCTGCGTCGCTTCCGCTGTGGTGCAGAGGGGTGGGGCTGTGGAGGAAGCTGGAGACAGAGTCAGGCAGCACAGCCCACGAGAGAGGTGCGCCCAGGGCGAAGTGGGACGCGCTGCTGGGAGTCGTCACACTCTTCGGAATAGCAGACCTGGCCAAGGGCTGCTGCGTCGCCTGCTGCATGCCTTCCGACCCCACCTCTGCCCCGCTCACATCACATGACGCTGCCCTTGGCGGCGTTGCTGTGCCCTCCATTCCGTATGCACCACCTCCCGCATCTGCTGTGGCGTGCGTGCTCTCAACGACACCGTCATCTGGCGCATTTATCAATCCACACTTTCTCTTCTCGCCCTCCTTTCCCTCTCCACTCTCCGTTCCATCACCTCCCTCTCCAGCACCCTCCTCGCCAGATTCACAGAGCACGTCTGTGCGTCTCTCCCACCCCGCCCCTCCGCCTCTCTCGTCGCTCACTGCCCCGCCTCGCGCCGCCAGCCGGACAGCCAAGTCGCCCACCACCATTCGCTCCAGCGCCATGGTCGCTGTCCGTCTCGCGTGCCTCCCTCCTGCCACCATCGCTGATGGCGCCGGTGCTGGTGGCCCTGGTGATCCTGGCGGATGTGATTCCGGCGGATGTGATTCTGGCGGATGTGATTCTGGCGGATGTGATTCCAGCGGATGTGATTCTGGCGGATGTGATTCCGGCGGATGTGATTCTGGCGGATGTGATTCCGGCGGATGTGATTCCGGCGGATGTGATTCTGGCGGATGTGATTCTGGCGGATGTGATTCCGGCGGATGTGATTCTGCCGGTTGCGCAGCGAACAGGGTGTCAAGAGGCGGACTAGATCGGGCGTTGCGAGGGCGCCGAGAGACACACACTGGAAAACAGCTATCATTTAAGCCGCATGTCCATTTACATCTGCGCAACGACAGTTGGTCCCCGCGTTCAGCGGCCCCCACGAACCGCGCATCTCGTGGGTCGGCTTCAGTGGATGCGGACGCGGCCATGCGGCAGGCGAGGTGTGACACGCCTCGCGACGGTGCCGCAGTCTCGCGATGGTGGCGTGCGATGGGCCCGGGAGGTCGGTAAGAAGCAGATCAAGTGGGTTGCGGCGTATGGCGCGGGAGGCTTCGCGCGTGTTACGACGAGCTGGGAAGCACACGGTAGTAGGCTCCTGGAAGGCTGGGCTTGTCGAGTCGGACCCGGGCAAGCTTCAAGCGTGTTAGCGCAGGAGGCGACGGGAGGCACGAGGCAGAGCGACAAACCTTGTTATACACGGAGCGAGAGACCATGGCGAAGACACGCGCCTCGTGCGCGCAATTCGCGCTCGCGGGAGTTAGACGTCACCATGCTGGGACGGACGAATCGCTCCGGCCTTCCCTTCCTACGGCCAATCTGCGGGTGCAGCGCTGCACTGTAGAGCACACGGCGATCCTCGTTCTCTGCCAGGTAAGCTCCTCCAAGCTTTTCTATTGGGTGAATTCTGCGTAGTCTGCTTATTCCGTGGATGGCGAGTTTGCGGCACGAGAGGCGGTGGCAAATATCCTATCATCGACCGCGCGGAGGACGGGCAGTGGTCCACTGGCGAGGGCTGCGACGTGTGTGCGAGCACAAGGGCAAGGCTAGCCATGGTGGAGGTAGTGGGTGCAGGTGGGGACAGTGGGCAGCGGCAGAACACGAGATAGAAACAGAGAACGACGTGTTCTGTAGAGCCACGCCAGGGCCACCCATGCAGCTGGCGTTACAGGCCCATGCCGCAGCAACACAGCCCGCCGAGGAAATGTGCAGCTGGCTTTTTTTTGCTCCATGTATTTTGACATGAATCTCTGGAAGAGTGCTTTTGAAGCGAAGCAAAAGTGCAGAGATAGTGCAATGCGTACACCTCGGAGTTAAAGCAGAGGTAAAAATATAGGTACGAAGCCACCTATGAAATCCTATCATTAAGTCACATAGTATATCATGCAGATATATACCAGACAAACTAGAACCAGCCAGGTTTGATCACTGTGCCATCTCATGTGCTTTACCACCAACACAACATACTCTCAAAATAGTAAAATGTAATGATGTACAATAAGACCATTAAACCAACTCATCCAGCTGGCCCCACACTGCAGTGGCGATTTCCTCCAAGGTCTTCACGTCAGAAAGCTCCTTGCGATAGCGGAACACACGACTGAGCGCATCGTTCTGGTTCAGCAGAGTGTAACACCTGTGAACAGCACAAGATGGTGAAAGGAGATGGTTAAAATGACTGCACACGAATCTGTGCTACAACCTTATCAAGAAATGCAGCTGAGCCTATCCCCACCCACTCACATAGCACGATAGGACAGGGAGAAGTTTGCTCCGGCTCCCTGCACTGGCCGTGGCGGCTTGTAGGTGGAGAACAGCCTGGCGAGGTCGGCCTTGTTGCAGCGCTGTGCACTCACATGCAGCATCACCAGGTCGTACAGCGGGTCACCTGGTGTGCCACGCACACGGGGGTGTGGGGAGGGGTGGGGGATTCAGCATGCAAGGGTTGATGATTCACAACACATGCGCGAGTGTTTCAGCACCAACAATCATCTTGACGACCCGGGATGCAAAGTAGGCAAGAAGGAGCAGCGCACCGAGAATGAGGGTGCCAAAGTCGATGATGGAAGACGGCTGCAGCACCCGCTCCCCCTCAGCTGCCACCTCCTTCTCTCCACCCCCCTCGCCTGCGCCTGGCTTCTCGCCGTTGCTCTTCTCCGCGCCGTCCTTGCCGCGCGCAACAAACTCCTCGATGACGGGCGTGGCAGCGGGCGAGGCGGCAGCCAGCAGCACGTTGTCACTCATGATGTCCGTGTGTAGCCATGACGGGCGCTCCTGCCGTGGCACGTGATGATTCGGGATTGTGACCAGAGGAGGGGTGTACGATGCAAGGGATGCACGGTATTAGGATAGGGGAGAGGAAATGAGGGTGGAGCAAAAGATACAGGAAGAGTAAGGTGTGCTGACGAATTTATGCAGGGCTAGTTGGAGCAAGCAGCTGGGAAAAAGCAACAAAAGAGAGAAGGGGGAAGCGGGTGTGGCAGGAGGGGGAGGGGACTGACAAGGCCTTGGAAGAGCAATGCGGGGTCCTTGGGCAGATAGGCCACTGCCTGCTTCACCAGGTGTGGGGGGAGGCTGCCCCTGTGGTGTGAGAGGGGTGCAGCAAGGGAGAGAGGTGGGTGAGACGCATGGAGGGCGCTTGGCATGGGATGGATGGGAAGCACGGGGGAAGGGCGAAGGAATGACACCGGCACTGCTGCGATCTCGTCTCTCACATTACCCTGCTGCCACCCAGATGCCCGGCTGTGACACACGTGCCCCACTCTCTCACACACTCGCCGTGCTGCACTCACATGTCTTCGAGTCGCTCCTTGATGTACTTGCTGTGCTCGCGCATCATCTCTGCAAACGGCCTCCACTCCTCACTCACCACCACCTCCTCCTCCTGCTCCTCCTCCTTCCCACCACTCTCCACCGCCCCGTTCCCCACCCCCTCCTTTGCAGTCCCATTCGCTTGAACCGCCTCCCCTGCTGCGCCCTGCGCCCCTGCCTTCTCCTCCTTGCTCTTGCTCTTGGCCTTGCGGGGCGGCGGGGAGAGCGGGGAGGCGGGCAGCGGCAGCGAGTGCAGGTGGGAGAGGCACGCCGCAAAGAAGTCCGCCAGAGCCTGCCTGTCCGCTGGTGTTGCTAGGTCCGCACTGGGGTGAATGGCAGGAGGGATGAGGGGGTGAGAGGGGAGGGAAAGAGGTGGGTGGGGAGAGGGAGGAATGGGATGGGCGAAGAGGGGGACTGTGACGGGGACAGCAATGTGCATGTAAGGATCTGTGTTCACTGGAAGAGGTCTGGAGCGTGAGCATGTGAGCGTGTGTGCGCGGCCATGTAGTGCGCCACTCACACAGCATCCAGTTGCCACCCAGGGCACCGCCCCGTGATGATGTACGGCCACACTCCCTCCTCCTCCTCCTCCTCTTCCTCCTCCTCCTCCTCATCGTATTCCTCCCCTTCCCCTTGCTCTGTTTCCCCCTTCTCTCCCACCCCCACTCCCACCCCACCGTCCTTCCCCTTCTTCCCTTTAGCCAGCTCCCTGCGCCTGCGCCTCTCCTCAGCCTTCTTCTTGGCGCGCCGTCGATACGCCGGGGTCCGCCTATCCCTCCCCTCCTCCTTCCCCTTGCCGCTCTTCCCCTTCTTCCCCGCCCGCCCTCGCGCCACAGCCCCCTGTGCCTCCTCGAAGGGGTTCACAGGCCGGTGCTCGGTCAGCCCGTCCCACTGTGCTGCTACCAGCTGCTCCTCTTGCGGTGCTATGCTCACCTCAAACGGGTACCCCTCCTGCTGCTTCTCCCCTTCCGCCCCTTCCGCCCCTTCCGCCCCTGCCTCTCCGCCCTCGCCCTCTGCACTCCGCCCGTTGCTCCCCACCCCATTCGCCTGCACGTCCTTCTTTCCCCCCGCCCCGTCCTTTCCTTCCCGCCCCTTCGCACCATTCTCCTCCTCGCTCTTGTCCACAACCCCGGATGAGAAGAGCAGGCCCGAGGCCACGAGGGGCGGAATGCAGGGCAGCAGGGGCGACTGGGACGCGTGGAGCTCGCGGTAGAAGGCCAACTGGAAACAGTCAAGGGGGGTCGGGGGAGTTGCGAGGGGGAAGTGGGAGGTGGGGAGGTGCAGGGAGCAGGAGGAACGATTGTGATGAGTTTAGGTGGTGGTGGAAGGGAAGGATAGCTGTGAGGAGGACGGGTGGTGAGGTGGAGTGGAGGGGCGGTGCTACCAGCGGGATTGCAGAAGAAGTTGGCAATAGAACCTGGGTGACGCACAAGAGACACGCACGGCAGGGCACGGCAGGGCACGGCAGGGCACGGCAGGGCACGGCAGGGCAGGGCAGGGCAGGGCAGGGCAGGGCAGGGCAGGGCAGGGCAGGGCAGGGCAGGGCAGGGCAGGGCAGGGCAGGGCAGGGCAGGGCAGGGCAGGGCAGGGCAGGGCAGGGCAGGGCAGGGCGTGCAGTGGTGGGTACCTCCTTGGCGAGGAAGGTGGCGGCGGACTCATCGTGAGAGCCCATGGGCAGATACAGCTTCACCACGTGCTGCCCCACCATGTATACCTGCACCGAGGGGGGAGCGGGGGGGAGGTGATGCGAGGTGCAATGGTGCATGCAGAGAAGGCTGAGAACGAATGTGAGAGCGCGCGAGCAAGCACAAGGGAGAGCGGGAAGGGAGAGAGAGGTGAGTGAGAAGGGAGGAGGCGAGAGAGAGGGGGAGTGGGTGGGCTCACAGCATTGGATCCGGAGCCGAGGGGGAGGGCGTCCAGGCCGTTGGGGGCGGGCAGGTTGTGTGCCTGGCACACTGTGACCACACGCCTGTGCCACGTGGCAGCATCCATGCACAGACACGCGTTCTGCACACTCAGAGGAGGGAGGGCGAGTGGCGAACCAGGATCATGGGACGAATGATAGGATCCGTGCGTAGAGAGTGGGGCAGCGGGACAGAGGAGGTGAGAGCACAGATGGACACACAGGCAAAATGGCAGCATGGCAGCACGGCAGTGCAGCGAGCCGCACCTTCCAAATGCGCTCCTGAAGTTGGGGCTGGGCGGGCCAGAGCGAGCGCAGCAGGATACGGATCTCAGGCATGGACCACCCCTCGTTGCCCCCCTCGCTCAGAAACTGCTGCGCTGCCAACGCTGACAGCCGCCCCTGCATGCCATTCCACGTGCCCCCCTCCCCCTCCTCCCCCTCGCTCTCCCCTTCCCCCCCCTCCTCTTCCCCCTCCTCTTCCCCCTCCTCTTCCCCCTCCTCACTCCCTTCCACCTCCTCGCCGTCCTCCACCTCCTCCCACTCATCCTCATCCTCCTCCTCCTCGCCCTCCCCATAAATGGCCTTGAGTCGCTCGTCCCACTTCTCCCCGGCCTCGATCGCCAGTCGCCCAGCGCGCGCCACGCCCCTGTGCCGCCCGGGTACCATGTCAAGGCACACGCAGTCAAAGTTGGCCGAAGAGGCGAAGTTCTGCGTGACAGCGACGGTGAGGTCGAGGTTGAGCACGCTGTGCCACCACCCTGACGGCACGTAGATGGTCTCGCCTGGTCGCTGCATGACTTCCATTGGTTTGTCCTCCGGGCGCAGGAGAGGATACACCTCCAGCCACCACTGGAAAGGGGAGGTGGAAGGAGAGGCGGGGGGGCGGTGAGAGTGGGAAAGGCGCACGGTTGTTGAGGCGCCTCAGACATGGCCTCAGCAGTGCATTACTTGTCCTCCGGGCACAGGAAAGGGTATACCTCCAGCCACCACTGCAAGGGGGACGAGCAGGTAGCATACCGTAAGTGTACTGAAACAGCTGAGCTGTCCCTTTAAATCCGCCCAACACTCAACTCACCTTGAGCGACGTGGGCCCATCGTAATCCACATCGCCCGAGTCATCATCCACTCTTAACGTGACACCTGGCGGCACCTTCCCGGGCGGGTAGAGCGCCCATCGCTTTCTCCCCGCGAGCAGAGTGTTCCAGGCACTGGTGAGCGCGGGGTCCACATGCCACCCCGCGCCCGAGCGCTGGGGGCCCGCGACGAGCCAGCGGTACATGGGGCGGTTGAGCGCGGGCATGGCTTCAAACACGTCCTCCGTGAAGTGCGGCGGCACCGAGTAGTCTGTGACTAGCGCTGGTGCTTGCTCTCCGAACTGCAGAAGAGGATGGGGGGTTGGGCGTTGAGGAGGGGGGGTGCGGGGGTGGTGGGTGAAGGGGGGTGGAGTGCGGGGTGATGCTTGTGGCGAATGGCAGCACACAGGGGTGATGCTTGTGGCGAATGGCAGCACACAGGGGTGATGCTTGTGGCGAATGGCAGCACACAGGGGTGAGAAGGGTTGACCTGGGTTGATTTGACATGCCCCATCTGGGAATGGTGATGAATGAAGCAGTGTCACCTTTGGATCAAAGATGTAGAGCGGCTCCTCGTCGTGCTGGGCCGCCACGTATTCACGGTAGTCGCTCAGCTTCATGCGCACCGTGTGCCCGTTCGCCACCGACACCTTCAGCGCCACGTCACCGTGCTCCTCCGCCAGGCTGTCGATGCTCCACTGTGACGTGGCTCTCCTCCAGTTCTCCGTCAGGTCAGTCATGATCACCTGTGTGTGTGCGTGTGGGTGTGTGTGGGTGCATGCGTGAGAGTGTGTGTGTGTGTGGGGGGGGGGGGTGTGTGTGCGTGTGGGTGTGTGTGGGTGCATGCGTGAGTTTGTGTGTGTGTGTGTGTGGGTGTGTGTGCGTGTGGGTGTGTGTGGGTGCATGCGTGAGAGAGTGTGTGTGTGTGTGTGTGTATGTGTGTGTGTGAGCGTGTGTGGGTGCATGCGTGAGAGTGTGTGTGTGTGTGTGTGTGTGTTTGTGAGCGTGTGTGGGTGCATGCGTGAGTGTGTGTGTGTGTGTGTGTGTGTGTGTGTGTGAGTGAGAGCGTGTGTGTGCTTGCATGTGGGGCATGCATGAACAGCACGGGAAGCGTGTGTTGTGGGGCACAGAGCACAGCACTGGGCATGGAATCTGCTGTGAGCGCCTTCAACTCCACACCCTCTTCTTCCCCTCTCGCCCCCACTCTTCCCCCCTCGCCCCCATTCTTCCCCCCTCGCCCCCACTCTCCCCCTCCCTCCCCCTCAACGCACGGGGCGGCGGCCGTCGTAGGAGTGGCGGAACTCGTCAGGGGAGAGGCCAGCGCGGCGCTCCACGTGGCCCGTGTCGCCCTCAAACGCCTCCAGCTTCACGTGGCAGCGGTACCACCGCCGGTACAGAAACATGGACTGGAAGTCTGTGAGCGCGCCCACACGCACGCACGCACGCACGCGCATATGCGGGGTGGAAGTGTGTAAGGGCACAGAAGAATGGGGGTGGGGGCAGCACGCAAGGGAGAGGAACAGAAGGGGGATAGCGTGGCTGCCACTTCTACATTGCCCACCTTCCAGAGCACGAATATGCGTGCGTGCGTGCCTGCATGCGTGCATGCGCACAAGTGTGTGTGTTCTAATTCGACCCTGCATGTGTGTGAGCATGTGTGTGTGTGTGAGCATGTGTGCATCGCAAGCGCGGTACCTTTGAAGTGAAGCGGCTCCTTGAGATCTCGGCACTCCACTCCCTTCTCCTCCGACAACCTGCCATGCACCCCATTCACCCCAGCACCCCATGCACCCCATGCACCCCATGCATGAATTCAAACCACACCATGCCGTGCCAATCCCGTCCAACACGCCACGAGGCAGCAACGGCGGCAGTGAGGCGGCAATGAGGCGAGGCATGGAGTGACGGACGCATGCAGAGACGGAGAGATGAGACGGAGAGATGAGATGGAGCCAAACGTCCGTCGGACTCAGAGCGCGCTGCTGCCTACAGCCACCATACCTACACCCAATTCCACCCCGCACGCCCCGCCCTCCTCCGAATTCCAATTAGACCATTTGTCCCACCCCTGCGCTTATTTCCCACCTTCCCTCCTTCCCTTCGCCCCCCTTCCCCTCCCCCGTTTCCCGCGGCGCACTTATTGAGAACGGTCTGGCGCCACGAGCGGTCGAAGCGCAGCACCTCGCCCTTGTACTCGCGGAAGCACTCCGCCAGCCACGTGGGCTCCTCCATGCAGAACACGTACAGCACGCTGCGCGCCGATACACGGGGGGAATGGGGAAGCGGAGCGTCGGGAGGAAGGGGGAACGACGGGGTTGCGTGAATGACAGGTCGTGATTAAGCGCCTTCTCGCGCGGCTAGTGATTGTAACGGGGCTTGACGACGGGCGGAGAAAGGGACTTGCCTGCTGACGCAAGCGGCGGCCATGAGATCCTTCGTTCCCAGCCGTCCAATGATGTTATCGATCACCTCATCGGGCAGCACCGCCAGCGCACCCAGCGCTGCAGTGCGCCTGTCGGTCCCTGGTGACGTGGCAGGCGGTACAGGCGTTTCGCCCGCGGCTGATGCGGTGGCAGATCCTGAGGCATCGCTTCCGTTCATTGCGATTCAGGCTTCGGAGAAGTGGCTAGATCCGCGCTTTCACCGAACAAACTCAGGAGGAAGGAGAAATGTTCAAAAAGTGCGACAATGCACGGAATAGGCGTGAGGAGGACAGCTGAGCAGAAATGCTGAAGAAACACAGCAGCCTTGGAATTTGGGACTTCACAGAGCAGGTGCTGCCTTGCGCGGGCGGACGGATGTGCCCTGTATGCACGACGAAAATATCCCAAAGAAGGGCACTGTGAATCTTGACTGACAAGTGGCGAGCCGTCATTTGTGCTCTGCGATGTCACCAACACAAGCTCAAAATCAACGAGATAAAAGGCATGTACACTGCGCTGTCAAAATTAGCCTACATCGACAAAAACAAAATACCATCTGAATCTATCTTTCTATTTAATCATCTCCTAAATAGCTACAAAGAACTAGCTAGCTGAATTATTTCTCGATGTCTTATGGCGCAGCGGAACTCCAAAAAGGCGAGGGACTTCATGCGAGCTTATGTCATCCTCCTCATCTCTCCTGTCGCCATGTATCTGCTTGTTTTCCTCGACTTTACGTTCAATCCCTCTATCATGGGGATGCCCCTGACCAACGGGCACATACTGACTGATGTGATGGTCATTAGCGAGGCCAGAAGCAGGGCGCAGAAAAGGCATGGAGGAGGAGACATTGGATGAGGAGGCCAGGTTGAGTGCAGTTGCTGCAGTGTCAGGAACTGTCCTTCCCAGTGGTGCGCCGGCTATGGGGGGATCTCTAGCATGCACCGTCGTGGCTGTGGGGAGAGATGTGGGGCCGGCAGCAGGGCCGGTGGCGGACAAGTGTTGTCGCAGGGCCAGTTGAATCGCCTCTAGAGTGTGTCCTGCCACGGACCCCCCAGGCGAAGCCAAACCTGCACCCACTGCAGGTGCAGATGCTGAGTGCACTGCTGCCACGTGGTGTGCTGCCATTGGCGCAGACGTCTGAAGGGGGTGGGAGCGGGGCAGCAGGCGCATGACATGGTCCATGAGGCTGCCTGGCGGCCCTGCATGCTCGCCAGTCTGGGCTGCAGGCACTGCTTGGCCCCCATACTGCGTCCCTTTGACAGATAAGCGCGCGGCAGATACAGCCTGCTCCAGGTGCAACCTGTCAAGGTGAGCCTGCATGAGGTGGGCGGACGGGGAGAGCATGGCGCGAGGCGGAGGCAGAGCAGAGCCATCCACGCCTGTCCGGGGAGAGGGCTCGCAAGGGGAACACGCAGACGACCCTGAGGCTGATGACGGCAGGCCGGGTGCGTGGGCGGAAGGTGCGTGGGCGGCAGGTGCGTGGGCGGCAGGTGCGTGGGCGGCAGGTGCGTGGGCGGCAGGTGCGTGGGCGGCAGGTGCGTGGGCGGCAGGAGCGGCAGTTGCGTGGGCAGCAGGTGGCAAGGCACTGTGAGCAGTGAGAGCTAGGGGGCGGAGGGATGGTGAGGGGAGTCGCCCGGCTGCAGCATCATGCGGCAGCCGCCTCTTCATTCCGCTCTGCGCCCGCTCTGCTGGTGCGGGGTCGCCTTGCAGCGGCGAGGGAAGCGGTGGTGAGGGGGCAGCGATCAGTGGCTGGGCGGGAGAGGGGGCGCGAGGGAACTGCTGCAGTGCTCCTGGCGCGACCACCGCACCCGCTCCGACGCATGCGCTCCCTCTGCTCGTGGGCTGAGGGCGCGGTGCCAGTGTGCTGCGCACTGCCGCTGGGTTGGAGGCGCAGTGCGTCTGGCTTTGATGTCGCAGTGGCGGCATCAGCACATGTGGCAGTGCTTTGTGCTGCGCTCGGGGCACCGGAGCTGCCGCGTGCTGCGCTTGGGGCACTGGCGGTGCCATGTGCTGCGCCTGGAAAATCGGGGGTGGCATGGAAGGGAGCGAGTGGAAGGCGTGTGCGGCATGCTGTGGTGGTAAGGCGGGCAAGGCGGGGACTGCTGTGCTGGCAGGATGCAGAGCGGGGCGCACAGGCGCCATGGCCATAGGCAGTGTGTGAGGGAGGCGGGGGCGCAGAGGCAAGGCAGGGCTGCTGCTGCCGCTGCCGATGCCATGAAGGTCCGGTTCTCGCGTCTCCCTCTTCGCCATTCCCCCCCGTGCTCCGCCCGTCCGCGCCCTCACCGCGCTCTGTCGCTTGCTGATGTTGCTGCTGCTGCCGTGGGGGATCCTCGTGGCAGCCGGCGGGATGCGAGGGGCGCCTCGGCCGGGTGCGATCTGGCGAAGGGCGCGGCGGGAGAAGGCGGAGTGAGCGGCGCTGGCGGACTGAGGTGATAGAGGCTTCGCTTGAGGGAAGAGCGCGAGGGACGCTGAAACGACAAACAACACGCGGCATGGGAGGGAGGCGAGTTTCGTCGTTGTCCGACAACGCCGCTCTCCCAAGCAGCGGGAGACCGGTGCTGAATTACCCCTGCACTCGTCGGCACACGAAGGGGAACAGGCGCGCTTATCAAATGGACGCAACGGCGCGTGCGCAGGAACGGAAAGTACCTTCCACGCACGGAAGGAGGAGACGGCGCCGCTCGCCTTGCTGTGCCACAGGCTGTTTCGGAGACGGCGCTGGAAGCGTGGAGGCTGCGGGGGAGGTGGGTGAGGCGGGGTCCCAGCGGCCGTGCGCGAGCAAGTGGCGGTCCTCGCGCTCCGTGCGGCCAATCACCGCCTCCAACGCCGCCGTCAGCCGCGGCGCTAGCGTGCGCTGCTCGGAATACTCTTTCTGCGCGACCACACGGAGGTATGAAGCACCCATTATCATGCGTCGCACACCACGACCCGTGCATAGCAAGCCACTTGCCATGTGTCAAAAGGCCGCTTCAATGCTTGCGGTGAGCAAAGCCAGCTCAATCAACGTGTTCTTTTTCAAATAAATGCACTGAATGCGGGCTATGAGAGAGAGCGTACTAGCGAGGAGGCGCGGCAGTAGAGTGTGTCTTCGAGTCGGACCACCACGCTGGGCAGCGCCGCCCGCCACACCGCGCTGCTCACTGTCGCCTCCTTGTGGATCGTTGCCGCGTGTCTGCCAGCACACGGAGCCACTGCCGTGGTTAGATTACAAATAATCGACCCGTGTTTATGCGAAAAGGAGAGGGCATCAGAAAGGTGCAAGGATGCTGCTTTTCTCGTGAGAAAGCTTCGGAAAACGAGCTCCAAGGTGGAGCCTTAAGCGACGTGATAGACGCATTTGTAGAACACAATGGAGAGGTTGAGCGGATGTCGTGGGCCTTACTCAATTATTCGCTTAATGACTTCCACTCGCGCGGGCCCGTCGCTGTCGCAATGCCACGGCTTCATCCATGCGCCTCACACGCTCTCCGCCTCCAGGCGTCTATGAAGAGCGATGCTGATGGCTGCTGCATCCCTACGTCGAAGTAAGTCCCTAAATGCTACTAGAGTAAGTAATGCTTGCAAGCGGATTCAAAAAAACTTTTCTGCACGTCAAGCTAAATGCTACTTCGAGTTTTAACTTGAAGGTAAACTGGTCCGCGCAGCCAAGCATTCCACCAAGTTCTGGGAGAGTGATAAAAGATATATGAACAGCGACGTCTAGTTGCTCTTAGCCACGGATGCATCGCACGAGTGCTCCCAGCACGCCGCTGACACTGCAAGCTGAGGCTGAGACAGGCTGGTTGTGCCTGCACCAGTCGAGCAGGCCAAGCACTTGAGGTTGCTGTGGCGCAAGCAGAACATCTTAGGCAAGGCAGGCACACAAGACTGAGCTGCAAGAAATGGAGCGCACGGAGGATGGCAGCCGAATCGCAGATTTGTGAGGGCTGTGGGCTGTGTGTGTGGTGCGGTTCGGATGACGTGGAGGCAATGTTTCTTCCGCGACAGACACCAGAATCAAGCTGTAAGAAAAGAATGATTACCGGCAGCCCTTGTTTCACGGAGATCCCTACGATCCGCCAGCGGGACATTGGAAACAGATGTTTGTGGTTAGGGTTACTCCAAAGCATTCATCACTCGCGCAGGTGATATCTTCGGCAATTCTTGACATGGCTCCCAGATATTGGCTCTAAACACAGCTAAGTGAAAATCATACTTCGTTGACGTGGCTTCCACAAAAACCAGCGGATGAGCGTTGACGAGGTCAGGCAAGTGTCGCCGTACAAGGCAATCAGACTGCCCTTCAATGACTGGCCCGGTTGAAATGAGCCGAGCTTCATTGGCTGGACAAAGAGATTCCGTAATTTCACTGAGTGCAATTTTCCAAGAACACTGGAAAGCCACTGTGGAACTGTTGCAGTCGTCAATGGGGAGTGGAAGGATCCACAACTTGCGATCCGACTTCTCCCAGGACGAAAGGAACTCTGGCTTGGCTTGGCTCACAGCTGTTTGTCTTTTGTGGCCGAAGGCCCCTTCCGTCTAGTCAATTTGCATTTCCTGGTTCCTTCCTCATAATACTGTATCAGCAACCCACTTCACTGCAAAACTTGTTGGTTGCAACACGCGTGCTGCTGACTCTGGTTTACGTTATTATTATACCACCCTCGTAAGAAAGGTATATATTCAGCGAAGTACTGAATTTACAGGGTACGTTCGCCAGCCCTGAGGAGCTCAGGATTCTGTTTGCATGACCTGGGCATTCTGGAATGATTCATCAAGACCCTAACATCTCAAACAGGGTTTGTTCCTTCGTTCCACTCCGCACTCCCCAAGCTCCTATTGAGGGGAAATTTCAGCAGGCCCACCTTTCGCGACGTCTCTGGGCGTGACGAAATTTTACAAACAGTTACGCTGTTTCACAGCACTCGCAAGGCTGGACTTGTGGTGAATCTAGGGGTCGTTCACATTTTCGCACCATCCGCATGGCTTCTTAGAAATGTCAACCCTATTCCTTTCCGCCTCGTCCTATTATCGCCGCGTCGCCTTCACCAGGCTCCCCTCTATCTCTAGTAGCTGTCGTTCCCGGAGCGACTTCCAGCCTTCCAGTTTGTTGTCCGCTCCGTGCGTATCCGGTGGATTCTACCGTCGCGGGCATCCCTCATCTAACAAAACTCGTTTCCGCAAGGGCTCAGTGATTCATCGTTTCGCGTCTTCCGCAAATCCCTCCGTGCAATTCGATTCGTCCGCGAGCACCCTCACCGCTCGCGGCATGACTGAGCACCCGTCCACTCCGGTGGAAGGGGCAGCGGACGCCGCGTCCGCGCCTGGCGCACAGTCGGAGGTGATGGCGTTCGACGCGCCGAAGACCATTCCGGGGATGATGGAGGTGCGGCAGCTGCTGGCCGATGACCCCGTCGGTGAGCCGAATTCCAATCCTTGGCGCCAACGCAGGGTTGCTGGGATTCCCGACCGCCGACAGGGTGGACTGTGCGTGACCGCTGTGACGCACCGTTGCACAGGCTCAGTAATTTCCGTCCGCCCTGGCTGCGTCCCTGCCAGCGCATCTGCGCTGCTTGCCTCCATCATTCGCACCTCCATCATTCGCACCTCCATCATTCGCACCTCCATCATTCGCACCTCCATCATTCGCACCTCCATCATTCGCACCTCCATCATTCGCACCTCCATCATTCGCACCTCCATCATTCGCACCTCCATCATTCGCACCTCCACCATTCGCACCTCCTCATCTGCACCTTAAGGCGCGCCGAATCATTCTGTGAGAATTACTTACGGTACCCCGGCGCTGGCGTGGTTGATTGCCATCCATCGTGGCATCTCGCTCCACTCCGCCCACCACGCCCAATTGCCTCCACTCGCCGCTCCCTATCCCTCCGCATCCCTCGGGGAATCCCTAACCCTAAGTTTTATCCCTCCCCTGCGCCTGGGCCAGGCGGGTGGGACAAGGCGTGGCAGGCGAGCACGACGCCGTGGGATCTGGGCGGCGTGACGCCGGCTGTAGCGGCGCTCGTGGCGGCGGAAGAGGGGTCGCCGCTGCACCTGCCGCCCTCCATCCGCCGCGTGCTCGTCCCCGGCTGTGGCACCGTGAGTGCCTTGCGCCGGGCTGTAGCACCGTGAGTGCCTTGCGCCCGGCTGTAGCACGGGAATGCACAGTGGGTGTTTTATGGGAGATGTGAACAGGGCTGTAGCAAGCGGGGGGAAAGTCCAATGCATGTGCGATGATTGCTCTTTGGCCGATTGTCTAAAATGCCGTTGGCACATCACCTCATGCTATCACGTGGGTCCATGTCATGGCATGGCATCGGGGGGGTTCTGGATACCATGACACTGCTCGGATGCCATGGCATGGCATGGGGTGATGTTGGATATGCTTGCATGACATGGCATGGCATGGCATGGCATGGCATGGCATGGCAGGGCTATGACGTGGAGGCGTTTGCATCGAATGGAAGGGAGGCGACGGGCCTTGACATCGCTCCATCTGCTGTGGCGCACGCAGAGAAGGTGGGCGCACGTGACATGGCCGCGCAATAGCTCACTCCACTCATGTTGCTTGATTCCTGCCGCCCATTCGCCCTTCCCCTTCTTCGCCCATCCCCTTGCTGGCTCCGCTGCCCTCCCCTGCTGCTCAAATTCTACCCGCGTAACCTTCTCTACCTTCTCAACCCTTTCCACACTCTTTCCCCTCCGCTTCTCATCCCTTTCAACACTCTTTCCCCCCTGCTTCTCATCCCTTGCAACACTCCTTCCCCCCTGCTTCTCATCCCTTGCAACACTCCTTCCCCCCTGCTTCTCATCCCTTGCAACACTCCTTCCCCCCTGCTTCTCATCCCTGTCAACACTCAACCTGCTGCTCTCAGCGGGTGGAGGGGGCATCCAACAGGGCGGCCATGGCGTTTGTGTGTGGCGACTTCTTTGAGTATCGCCCACCACAGCCCTTCGATGCTGTCTTTGACTACACGTGAGAGCCCCGCCCCTCTGCCTCTCACCCCTTGCATGCCACCCCCTTGCTGGCTCCGCTGCCCTCCGCTGCTCCACCCCCTTGCATTACACGTGAGAGCCCCGCCCCAAACACCTGCTGCCACACCTGCTGCCACACCTGCTGCCACACCTGCTGCCACACCTGCTGCCACACCTTCTGCCACACCTGCTGCCACACCTGCTGCCACACCTGCTGCCACACCTGCTGCCACACCTGCTGCCACACCTGCTGCCACACCTGCTGCCACACCTGCTGCCACACTTGCTGCCACACCTGCTTCCACGCCTGCTCTTCCTCCGCTGCTGCACTCCGTTCCCCTGTGGTGTGCCGCGCATCTCAATGGCTCCCGTCTATCTCGCGTGCCATTCGCCTTCTCCACCTGTGCTAAGTGCACATCCCTATCCTCGCCCCCTCTCCCGCATCCACGCCCTCTCTATGCCCTATCGCTCCTGCCCTCGTCCCGTCCTCACGCCCTTGCGTCCCCATCCGTCCATGCCCCCATGCACAATCCCTCGATGCCCGCATGCCCCTCCCCACCGGTCTCAACCAGTCCCAGTTAGTGCTCACATGCCCCATCGCCCCTGCCATGCCCCTCACGCCCTCGTGGGCCCACGCACCATCCTTCCATGCCCCCCTGCCCCCCTGTCCCTCCCCACGGCCCTCGTCGCCCCGTGCAGCTTCTTCTGTGCGCTGCCACCATCGCTCAGGGGCAAGTGGGCGGCCAAGACAGCGGAGCTGCTCGCACCACACGGGGTGCTCTTCACTCTCATGTTCCCCGTGCGTGCCGCTCTCACCATGCATATCCCTGCACGCCTGTCACTCAATGTTCATGTGTGCCCTCGTGTTACCTGCACGCATGAATGCACCCTCGCATGCTCCCTATGGGCAAATACTAATCGCTGCTGTCTGCGCACGGCTGTCTGTGTGTCTGCCCCTCGCTGCGTGCGCCTGGCCTGCAGATCGATGGACACGAGGGCGGCCCACCCTATGCCGTCTCCAAGGACAGGTGCGCCCCTCCTGTCTCCCATACCCCCCCTCGCCCCTGCCCCCTCTCCCCCCTGTTCAACCTGTCTTTTTTGTCTCCCCTTTCCCTACTCTCCCCCCTTTCCCTCCGGTGCCCCCTGCTCCGCCTGGTCCAGTTGTCACATCCACTGTTGGCCCCCCTCCCCCTTCTCCCCTCCCCCCTCCACCCTGTTCCTCCTGCGCGCCCCTATGCAGCCCTTGCTGTACTCGCCATTTGTTTCTCCTCTGCCCTTCCTGCCCCTCCCATCCCTCGCCTCCCCATCCTGGGCCTCCGCACCGCTGTTCGCCACCTCCCTGCACACGTTGCTTCCCTTGCTGCTCACCCTCCTCCCCCACCCGCCACCACCACCAACTCCCCATGCCGCCTCTGCCCTCCTCCCCCCCGTGCCACGTTCCACCTGTGCAGCTATGCGGAGGTGCTGCAGCCACTGGGGTTCACGGCAGAGGATCTGCCGACCGCCAGTGTGCCGCCCAGACAGGTATGTCTGGCGCGCTGCGTGTGCACGAGGGCACGGGTCACCATTGCTCTGCGTGTTTCCTACAGCCAGTGTGCCGCCCAGACAGGTATGTCTGCTGGGCTGCATTTGCATGAGGGCATGGATCACCATTGCTCTGCGTGTTGCGCACTCCGTCTTTGGCTCATTGCTTGTGCGCCCCACCCCCACCTGCCTCTGTGTGTGTGGTTGTGTCTGTGTTCGTGCGTGCAAGCATGTGTGTGTGGGAGGGGAGGTGGGTGTGGTGTGGGTGTGGGTGTGGGTGTGGGGGGGTGTGGGTGGGTGCATGGTGGGTGCATGGTGGGTGCATGGTGGGTGCGTGGGTGTGGTGGGGGAGTGCAGGGCAGGGAGCAGTTGGCCAAGTGGGTGCGAGCAGCTGCAGCATCCAAAGTGTGACAAGGGCACGGATGACATGACAATGGGTATCTGGAAATATAACCACTAATTTGCTTCTTTTATTTCTTAATGGCTGGTTTAGGGTTAGGGTTGAGCACCATTTAAATGGAATTAGATCGCAGCCTCAAGTTTGCCCACCACACCGTTTTTTCGAAGCTGATGGGCAATTTGGTGGCAATGCTCCCACTCTGACCACCAAACCTCGTTCTGGCGGGCGACTGGGGTTGCAGTCTTCGCATGTCAGGTATCCAACCGAAGTGACTTCGCGCCCAATGGAATTCACGCCACTGCTCGCACGCATGGTTCGACGACAATTATTACGCTGAACACAGACTGCCAACCCTAACGGCCGCGGCCCTTCAGAAGATTTTCCGCTTGAACAAAACCGAATACGAATACGTGGGCAGCGGGCTAAATGTATTTTGACAGTGAGTTGCATGAGTCAACCGATTCAACGTAAAAAATGTCAAAACTGACAAAAAAAAATGGCACGTTAGGTGTTGTCGCACACTGTCGGACAGCGCAGTCGTAGCCATCGTGGCTGTTGGGCTGAGAAAAGCCCTTAGGATCTTTGCAGGACTAAATTCTGGGTAGGACAAAGTAATAGCGGAAGCGTTTTAATGAGAAGTCTGTGAACCACCTTGCGCTGGTATGTGAGGGCAAAGTAGATTGGTTAAAACAAAGAGGTACAAGCTTTTATAAGAGTACAAGAGAATATGAAGAGTTATAACCAATAATTGTTTTGCTGTTGCTGTTGCGGTTCGATACAGTGACGACTCGGGCAACTGCTCAATAGCGAGTCAGTTGTTTGTCCTTGCTGTCGCGCTGTACTTGTCAGGTCAAGGGTCGCTGACCTTTGACTTTCGCGTAACCTCCAGCAGTTGTTCAACCTCCGAGGGTTGACTCGCCGATGCTTCGCTGTGTTTTGCTTCGCTTATAACTTAGTGTTTCGACACGACAGAGGCGCTTAAGTTACTTGTTTCCAACACTCCCCTTCGCTTCTGGAGTGTCGCTGCTGGTGACGTGGCTTTGTCCAGTCAGCATCATGCAGTACTCAAACTTCTGCTTTCCGAGTTTCTTGGTCAAGTAATCAGCTGCCATCTCGGACGTGGGGCAGTAAGACAGTTCAAGTCTCCTCTTCTCGATCTCGTCCTTCACGAAGAAATATCGCAGGGCGATGTGCTTCGTCCTGTTCGCGAATCCATTTTTATGGGCTTTGCGAATTGCCGACTGGTTGTCGCAGAACAAGGAGAAGTTGGGTAACTGAGCCAGCTTCGCTTCCTCCAGAAGTTCACGAAGGTACAGTCCTTCCTTGGTGGCTGAGCAAAGTGCGATATATTTTGCTTCAGCTGAGGAGAGGGTGATTAACTCCTGCTTGCTTGACTGCCACGAGATAGGTCCGATAGATTCGAAGCGATAGATGTAACCGGTGCACGAGCGTCTGTTGTCAGAGTCGCCAGCGTGATCGGCGTCAACGTAGCCGATTAACTTAGGTGTCGAGGTTCCGTTCTTGTGATAAGTCAGGCCGATCGTCGGAGTGCTAACGAGGTAGTGGAGAGCGCGGTCGAGCTCCGACATGTGTTCTGCCTCGGGCCTTTTGAGGTAGGTGGCGAGTTGACTCGCAGAGTACGATAGATCCGGACGGCAGGTGACGGCCGCGAAGAGGAGGCACCCCAGCTTTCTCTGGTAGTCGCGTATGCCTGCGGGTTTGAGCAGAGCGGAACTTTCCTTGTGATTTCCTGCGGTGTAGCGGTAAGGCGTGGAGATGGTGATCGGGGTGAGTCCGAAGCGTTTGGCAATAGTGTAGGCATATTTCGCGGCGTTGAGATAGATCACGCCTTCTTCTTCTTGGATGTTGAGGCCGAGATTCTGCGTGACGGTAGACGAGACCGTGAGCGTGAGGTCTTGCTGCAGCTCCCCTTCGAACCAGGTAGTGACGCTGTCGGTCGAGCCGATGTAGAGCAAGTCGTTCACGTAGACGATGAGTAGCCCTTTGTAAGTCGGTACATGCCCTGGTCGTGCGGTAGCTGGCGAAATCTGATGCGAATAAGTCTAGCGTGCAGGTACTGCTGCCACAGTCTCGGTGCCTGTTTGATGCCGTACAGGGACTTCAGTAACTGACAAACTTGGTTGGGCTCTCCGTTAGAGCCGTGTGGTAGCTCGACGAAGATTTTGGCGTCAACAGGTGCGTAGAGAAATGCACTGGCGACGTCAATTTGTCATAGTTTCTTCTTCTTCATAGCGGCGATCGCGAGAAGAATTCGAAGTGAAGTGTGTCGCCTGACTGGGGCGAACGTCTCGGTGAAGTCACGTCCATGCTCTTGGTCGAAACCGCGTACGACCCAGCGCGCCTTAAACTTGTCGATGGTGACGTCTGCCTTTGTCTTCACGCGGAAGACCCATTTTCCGGTGAGTACGGTTTTGTTGCGTGCCATGCTGATGGGAACGATTTTCCAGGTGTTTCGTTCTTCCAGTGCTTTCAGCTCCTTGTCCATGGCTTCGCGCCATTTTTCCCTATGCTCCCCTCCCAGAGCCTGCTGAACTGTGGCAGGCTCCTTAGGAATCTCCGTGCCGTGGATCGCGGTGACGAGGCCGAGTATCTGGAGACCACTCTGTGTGTAGCGGGGGAGTGTTGTGTCCTCGGGATAAGCTGCTTCGTCACATGCTTCTGGATCAGGTATGAAGTTGGGCCCTATGCGTTCTGCTTCGTTGGTGTTGACTCTTGCAGGTGTAACGTAACCGTTGTCAGCGAAGTGGTAAAATACTTCGGCGTTGGCGCTTTCGCGAGGATTTTCGTCATCCATGGGGACGTCGACGGAGCAGTAAGGGAGAGGTCCGGCTTCCTCCGAGGCTACATCTACATTCTGCTCGTCCCAGTCAGCTTCGTCTGCTGCCAAGGCGAAGGCTCGGTCACCATGGAAACCACATGTGGGGTCCCGATCTTCTTCTAGGTTGGCAAGGTACGTCGGAAGGGTGAGTCGTTCGTAGAAAATGACATCACGTGCTGCTACTGTTTCCTTGAAGTGGACGTCGAAAATCTTCCACGCGTTGTAATTTCTTTCGATGCTCAGGTGTAGTCCCCACTGTGCGCGTTGGGAAAATCGGCCGGCTCGTGCAGATGGGGGTCGGTACTGTACCATGCAGCCGAAAACTCTTAACATTTTTGTGCTGCCCTGTTTTCTTGTCCACAGCAGGTGCGGTGATGCGTTGTTCGGAAGCGATGATGACGAGAGCAAGTTGTGCAGCATGACAGCGTGGTCCATTGCTTCGGGCCACTGGTGGTTGGGTAGTCGCATGCCACGTAGCAGCTTTCGCATGGTGTTTTGAAGAGTTCTGTTCATCCTTTCTGCTACGCCTTGCTGCTGATGAGCGTAGGGAAGAGAGATGAGCCTCTTGATCCCTCTTTCTGCCAAGTACTGCTTGAACCTCTGTGAGGTGTATTCTCCTCCTCCGTCTGACTGGAAGCTTTTTAGCTTCACGCCCGATTCTCGTTCTGCTACTGGGAGCCAAGCGACGAAGGCCTCGAAGGCCATGTCCTTGCTCGGAAGATTGAGGTGCCAGATGTAACGTGTTGCGGCATCGATGAACGTGATGGTGTAGCTGTATGCTCCTTGCCCAGGTTTGCGGTTGTACAGGATGTCGCTGTACACTTTTTTGAGTGGTGCGTAAGCTGGTGCGCTGGGGTTGTGGTGAGAAGCGAACGGTCGATGTGGTAAGTCAGCTTCGGGACAGGTAAACCACGTTCCGCGAGCTCGTTGAAGTTCGCTTCCGTCGGTTAGGAGCAGTGAGTCTTTGTCGAGCACGCCTGCTCTGATTGTGTTGTTTAACACCGTGTTGCTTGGATGTCCCATTCGTGCGTGCCAG